TTATATATATATATATATATATATCTCTTAATCTTCACGTACCTCTCTATTTCAATCTCAAAAATCAAAAGAAACTTTTAATATATCTCTCTCAATCTTCACGTACTCTATATCTCCCTCTATCACGTTTTTAGAAAATGATATTACCTAAGTATATCTATTTAGGTTGAATCCAAATAAATTTCTTAATAAATACGGGATATCCCTTGTTTTACCCTTAAATATAAGTGGATAAGGGAATACATTTCCAAAGATACATGCATTTCCTATCCCCTAAATAAACACGTGTCCTCCCTTCCTTGGATAAGTTTTTCCAACTCTTTTTCGCCTCATCTTGTTTTTTTCTATATATATGTCATACAATTTCATGTAAGTTTTATTGGACTTCTACTTCATTCTCAAGCTTATTGATTCAAAGCTTTCCTTCTCAAGCCTCTCTCACACCTCGCGAGGTAAGGTTTTTTTTTTCCCTTCTTTTTTATGTTCTTTCTTATACTTCATGCAATTTCATCTGCAACTTGATACAAGGGCTTAAAATTATTTTTTTGACAAATTCATTTTTTTTTTGTTTTTTGTTTTTGGTTCGAGAACATAAAAATATTCAAATAGAAAAACAGAATATCATCTAATTATTTCTAATTTCCAGAAATTTTATAATTATTTTTTGTTAATTTGTATTTATTATGTTGTATTTCTATATTGTACTTAGAGCTTTTATCCATTGAATTATTAATCTCTGTGCTTTAAAAAACTATTTATGACTAATTTTCAAACTTTCTATTTAATATTTCAAAAGAAAATTTTCTTTTCAATAAAAGTTGGATACAAGCTTTCTTTCTTTTCTTGAATTTGTTTTAAGAAAACGTTTTAGCTATAAAATTTTATGTTTTTAAAATATAAAAAAAAACTAAATTTTACATATTCTAATTACAGAGCTTCAAATATTTAAAAGGTGTTGTCCTATTGTTTTTAGAAAATAGAACACTAGCTTCGTATCTTCTTTTTTTTCTTTTTTTTTTTTAAATGACCTTTATATATTTAATTATTAGTGTTGCTATCTTGAAAATATATTTTAGATTTTTAATATTGTGGTCACGAGAGAGAGAATATCAAGCACAGTATTAGGTTCTATGAAAGACATCAAGTAGTAGACATTTATTTTATTGATGTGTTATTTATTTTTGGAATTTCTATGGTTTCTCTAAAGTTGCAACCTTAAACAATCCAATTAAGGAGCACCTTAAAATTTTATCATAATATGCAATTTTGTTGTAAAAAATTCTTAGTATTATCTTAAAATCTATTTTTATACCTAATAAGAAAATTTTAAATTCTAAAAATATTTAAAATTAAGTAGATCTATAAATATATGAGAATCTTGAAAATAGATGGTCTAGATAATGTGTAGCAAGATGCACTATTTTTGGGACAAATACTTTTTTTTTTCATATTCATACATCCCGATATTGAGATGATCGATTAGAGTGTTTTGTCAAAATTAAAACCAGATTTCCAATAGATTTTTGGAGTACATCCTTAATTCTACATTTTAAAGTTGCAACATTATATAAACTTTTCCCATATATATATATAATTTTTTTCATACAATTTCATAAGTGATATTGCACTTCTATGTCATTCTTTCAAAAGCTTTCCTCTCAAGCTTCTCTCACACCTCACAAGGTATATATATATATATAATTTTTTTCATACAATTTCATAAGTGGTATTGCACTTCTAT